TGGGTTGGCTCATCATAGGGGTCTAAAGATGTTGAAAATGATTTGCCAGTAATAGGATTGTCTTCTACAAGGTTGTTCGCCGTTTCAAGCTCGGTTCTCACAGCTGTGCAGGATTCCATAGTCTGCCCTGTACATTGGGTCTGACCGTCATATAAATGGTCCTCCGCGTAAATGGGCTTGCCCGCCCGCCCACTTACAGTCTGGTTCTTTTTAACAAATTGTTTATATTGCAGATTGCATTTTATGACTCATTATACATTACATTGTTAGAATGCCCAGAAAAAAATTTTTAATAACACCAAATTAATAATCTTTGTTAACTACATATATATACGTATATTCATACATATTTATCAGTAATACTTAAAGAAGTATAGTCAGAAAGATAAAAGTAGTTGCGTATGATATTGAAATAAAAAATTGTATAATATATATAATATGTATGATAATAAATATTTCAGCCATACTAAAAATTATTTATTATTAGACAATTATTATATATTAAAGCAATTACAATTTTTATTTTTTCAAAGTTTAATAAAGCAAATATTAAAGAAACTGCAAATAATTATTTTTTTCAAATAAATTAGCAAAGCAAAAAAGCATATAAATTATAATTAATGTTCTAAACTATGTTCACGCTCTTTAATTAAATTAGAAATGCATGATTCTCTTAATTTTTTTTTCTTTCTTCGAGTTGTAATAATCCTTTTTCATACTCTAATTTTTCTATTAATGACAATTGTGTTTCCTTAAAATTTTCTTTATTTATAGCAACTTCATCATTAGTTAAATCAATTTTTTTTAATTTTTGAAGATTTTTTTAACTTTTTATTGTTTGTCTGCAATGAACCTGGTTGTATGTTTCATTTTGTACTTTTAGATTTCTGATTATCTATAAAAATAATATAATAATTATATATATTTAATTATATACTTGCACTATCAGTTTCAGATTTCTCATGATCAAATAGTTCCAAATCCTCTTCATATATAGTTTCTACACCATCAATAACTTGTAAGCAATAATCTATTTTTGAATGTGTATTTTTGAACAGTATGAATATGCTAATAATTTGAATTTAGTAAAATTGACTATTTGTTGTAGCTTTTACTGGTTACAAATATTGATTTTTAGTATAAGGTTTACTACCAATATCTTAATATAAAGTTATAGGTTATTTTTACACTAGTTTCAAAAGCGTAAGTAAATTTTTTTTTATTTTTCTTGTGTTCTTTATATATATGAAATTTGATACTAAATTAATTAAATTATAATTAATTTTACAATATTTGCTTTTTATCTTTATTATATTATAATTTATCATTCGCTATTTGACTTTTATCACTTACTACATTTTTTATGAATCATACTTGATTTTGTGCTTGCATTATAGACCTTTGTTATTTACAGTGCTTTTCAAATTACTGTGATTAGCTATCGATCATCTATTATTATTGTTCATCATATAATTTATTCCTTCTAATGAACAAACAACTTCTATAACCAAAAATACCTCTGTGCTCAATGAAGTACAGTATAAAATAGAGTCATAGAACAAGCCAACTGATATCACATAGGCAGACTTTACGAGAATTGTATACTTTGAGATTTAAAACTTATCGCTATCATCAGGAAATTTTTAAATAAGGTGCATATCGATTACCATCTGCAGAAGTGATTGGCATAGATTTATATTGATTATAATCGATTGTAATCATTCAAATCTAAATGATTGCAATCGATTGTAATCGATGCTAATCGATTGCAATTATTTAGATTTGAATGATTACAATTGATTATAATCGATATAAATCGATGCCAATCACCCCTGCAAATGGTAATCGATATGCATCTTATTTGAAATTTTCTTGATGATATCTGGAAGTGGTGGGAGGGCTGTAGCTGGACACAATGTCGAACAGGAAATTCAAGAACAAAAAAATCAGCAGATCACCAAATTACTCAAATATAAATGCGATCAAAACCTCATTATGCTGTCAAAGCCTTATTTCCAAATTGATCTGCTGTCACATGTATAACCCATGGCTCACAATAATGTCCCACCTTGTGACTTCGTTCACAAGTGGGTTATAATACGGAAATCTGTAGAATTCTTTTAAATTTGTCATTTTTTTAAAAATTCCTACTTTAAAAATAAGAATTCCAAAAATTTCTTCATCAGGAAATTTCAAAGCCTGATTATAATCAATTGCAAAACAATTAATCGGTTATAATCGATTGGCTTTAAGCGATTATAATCGACAGTAGTGTTGATAATTGATTCATATCAAAATTGATAAAAATCGATAATGATAAAAATCGATAAAATCTAAAAGATTATAATCGATAACAATGATTTATATCAATTATAATCGATAAAAATCTAATCGATTTTAATTGACGGTGGTGATAAAAATCGTTTAAAATCCTTAAATTTTAATTGATTATAATCTAGTTTTAAATTTTCCTGATGTTGAATTTCAATTCTCTTGTATATCATCCATTAGTGTACTATATCTTGAAGTGGTCAGATCAAAGAATACTAAAATTTTTTGGTTTTCTTTACTAAATTTTCTCAAACTTCAAGTGAATCTATCTTGATAATAGCTGGTCATTTTCGATATTCAAAGCCATTTTCAAATTATGAAGGCTTGTAAGATTCGAAAATGGTCTTAAACATTGAAATTGACTGGGCTATTGTTGAGAAATCTTCAATCAAACTTTTAAAATATTTAATATTAGAATTTTATACATAATATACACAATACATTTGGCTGGTATAATTTTCAGCAATCACAGGCTTACATTTTACTAAAATCCTGATTCCCAGATTTCCCGTGATGTGTAATGCATGAATTTTGCTGATCACAGTAATTTGAAAAGCACTGTAATTACTCATGATTCGATCAATGATCGCAATCAACTCCTGTGATCACGAGACCTTTCAAACCCAACCAACGAAACTAAGCGATAGTATCCTTACAATATTCACATATATATATTTTTTTCTTTTGCAGTAACTCTTTAATTCTTTAATTTAGTAACTCCTTAACCTTACACCACAGACTATATATCTCGAACACCGTCTTTCATTGCAGAATTGATTTTGACCACGATACCATTGTTTTATTCGTAACCACAGGCTACAAATTTATTATCCAGTATTGCATTGTTGAATTTATTATGCCGAAGACTTGCTATCATACACGTGAGTATGATGATAAAAGCTTGTCATACGCAACTACTTTTGTACTCCCTCTTTAGGAAGGACTCCGTATTTATGACGCTATGTACGTATCAGGTTAGACAAAAATCCGACTCAAATTAATAATGGTGCATAACATGCATATCATGCGTATGCATAATTCATGTATGCATGATCACTACATATGTGCCCATCTCTAACTAAAACTGCCCTGCGCAGCATTACATGTTGCGCAGCTATCCTTTTCTTACTATTAAATGATCAATGATCAATTTCTATATTTGGGGGATAATATTTCCTAAATAATTATTATTTGCATCAAAAGGTAACCCTAACCTTAATTCTGCTTTAGCCGATTCCATGTAAGCAAAATAAATTGCAAACAATGAAAGTTTCTGTTACGTATGTACAACAACCTATGATTTTATCGGCTTTAACGAGGTCAAAAATGTGTGAAAATGATAAAAATAATCTAATGATTCTAGAAATGTAAATCGTATTTGATTTCGTTAACTATAAAATGGATGGACTCAGAAATCTGTCAATGATAATTAAAATACAAAAAAATTTCTTCTAGAATCATCTTTCTAATCTATTGATAACTTTCCCAACTGCCATACAAGACGTTATTATATTCTCGGTTAAAAATATACTTCATAAACAGCACAAATTGGGTCTAATATTCGAAAAAAATGCATTTCAAATCCAAATATCCTAATATTGAAATTCCAGAAGAAGGGGTATATCAATTCATTACAAGTAACCCTGAGGGAATTTCAGATGATAACGTCTGTTATATCGATGGAATTACAAATGAATATTATACGTTTGGCAAGATTAAAAGTGAATCAAAGAAATTTGCCGCGGGACTATTGGATAAGGTTGGATTTAAACGTGGAGACGTTTTGGCTATCTTTTCACCCAATCAGGTAATTATCCATTCATTTATATACCGGTACGATATGACGTTTTAATAACCTGTACAATGATATTGTTTCTTAAAGGTTGATTATCCTGTTGTGCTCATGGGAACAATCGCTGCAGGTGTGTTTTAAAAAAAATCCTTTAATTCATAACAAGTATATATATATATTTTTTTTTTTTTAAAAAAAAAAAAACCTGGAATATTTGCGAGTAGGGATTGGAATCGGTTTAGTCGACTAAAAAATCTGTATAATCAACTACTATGTTTATCCCTATTTGCGATCACATGATTTTAACGATCATGTGATTATTGATATTTTATACTCTGCTTTCGACATGAATGTTGCAAAGTTAAAGCCTATAACTTTACTTAACAATTTATTATTATCACTTAAAGAATTTCACTCTATTAAGCTTTTCAAGAGCATAGTCCGTATAAGACAAATCAATTGTTATGGTAGAGGAGTTCCATAAATATGACAAATAAATATAAATGAATGTTGCAGAATAAATCATTAAAGCATAGTTACAGATTTTCACAATACTCAAAAGTTTTGGAATTAGATTTTAGCCTTTCAATTAATATATTAGTTAATGATCAAACGTTTATTTATTTTTTAATACGTTTTTAGGGGGCAAAGTAACATTGATTAGCTCAAGATGCACACCAGATCAATTATCATATCAGCTAGCGGATTCCGATTCATCCATTCTGATCACCCATCCAGACCTTCTTACGACTGTTACTTCTTCTTCAATTAAAGCGGATGTCCCTATATTTTTATTTGGAAACGAGGAGATTAATGGATATAAACCTTTTACCTCGGAGTTAATTAAAGATCGTGAAATCGAACCTGTTACTTATACTCTAGAAGAAACAAAAGTGGAGACAGCCTATTTACTATATTCCTCAGGAACTACCGGAAAACAGAAGGGTGTTGAAATCACTCATAGGAATTTGATAGCGAGTTTAGTAGGATTTAGGAAATTTGAAAAGGATATCAATTCAAAAAGCGTTCTCGTGGGGGTTATGGTATATTGATTTTTATTTATTTTTTTTAGTTCTTTTAGATAAATATCTAACGACAATTTATGGTTTTCTTTTTTCAAAATAGCCATTCTCACATGTATATGCATTAATATATGTTGTTCACGTAACTCTTATTTGCGTATGGATTTTTTTTTTTTTATCAAATTAAAGATTTGAAAAAGTTTATGTTTATACTTTCAAATTGTTTTAAAAATTTTTGCTTGAATATTAAAAGGGTGCCACCGCTGTTATCCTGCCTAATTTCGATGTGAAAATATTTTGCAGTTGCATCCTGAAGCATAAAATTAACTACATTCATGCAGCCCCGCCAATTATACTTAGTCTTGTGAAAGATCCAACTGTCAAACCAAGCGACCTATCAAGCGTTAAAGTTATCGTATCTGCAGCAGCTTCGTTAAGATATGAACTAGAACGCGTATTTTTTAATATTTTTAAGATCCCAATTAAGCAAGCTTATGGTAAAAAATAGATAAAAAATAAAACAAAATAAATTACCGTATATTATCAAATAAAAGCAACCAAGCGTTGCAATATGAAGCGAAATGTTGATTATGCTCATATACAATTTACTAATAAACGTATGTCCCCCGTTAGGATTATTGCCCTAGCTTGCATCGATTTTTGGTTATTTTTAAATCGGTAATATACGGTATTTAATTAATGCAATCACAACTTTATTAATTTTCTATTTATGCTACATATTAAGGCCTTACTGAGGCGACAATTTCACATTATTCTGATTCAAGACATACTATTTCAGGTATATTAGAAAAGTTGTCTCAAGATTTATATTTAAATCATATAATTGGTTTAAATTATTTGTTATGGTTTAATAATGGCGGCCTTTTTAAAAATAATTTGTAATAGGTTCTTGTGGATTGCTCTTACCAAATATGATCGCAAAAATAATTTCTAATAATGGGCACGGTAATTTATGCGCTTCTGTTTTCTACTAATATTGCAATAAAATAAATTTACTAATACTTTTATACTATGTTCTAGAGTTAGGACTTAATAATCCTGGTGAACTATGCATTCGAGGACCAACTGTGATGAAGGTACATTATACAATATGATTCGAATAATAAATAATTATGTGATTATCATTAATTTATCTTATGTGAATTACCATTAATTTATTACTAATTGAATAGGGTTATCGCAATAACAAGGATGCGACAGATACCATCTTTGACAAAGATGGTTTCCTTCACACGGGGGATATTGCATATGTTGATGAGAAAGGTTTCTAGTCAATCTTTCACAGTAATTCTCTAGTGGTTGAACCATTATTTGAACATATTTAAATCATTTTATAGGAAATTATTTTATAGTTGATCGAAAGAAAGAATTGATCAAACATAATGTACTTCAATACGTTTGTTTTTCTTTTTGTTTCCTTTTTGAAAATATTTATTTGATTACATTTATATGTTAGGGAATTCATGTGGCTCCAGCTGAATTAGAGGAAATTCTACGTACACATCCTAAATTAATTGATGCAGCAGTAATAGGATATTATTCTGAACAATATCAAAATGAATTTCCTGTGGCATATATCGTCACTGAATTACAAAAAACCCAATCTCTTAAAAATGAAATTTTAAATTATGCGAATAGTAAATTGGCACAACATGAAAAAATCATTGATATATTGTTCATTGATGAAGTGCCAAAAAGTGAGTCAGGAAAAATTTTAAGGAGGGTTTTGAGAGAAACGTTGTTGTGTGAACTTATTGATGATCAAGGTAATTTTAATTATATATCAAGTTATTAATTTTAGCTTGTAACTAACTTTTATGCAATTATGCATACTATAGGAGACTATTATATTGCCGGTCGAAAAAAAAATTGGATAAAATATAATGTATTATTTATTTTCTTATTCTATATTTATTTGAAAATAATGTTATATTTTAACTAATATATTTATGTATTTTTTTCTAATGATACAAGTGTAAAAATAATATACAACTAGGTGATGGTGTATTTAGGGTAGTACATGATAAGTATAACCATAAAATAAAAAAATATGAAAATAATTTTTACAACATCTCGGAAGCCTGTTATCAAACATCTCTTTTTCAAGAAGTTCAGTTTAATGAAACTAAATGTGATGACGCATTTGAATGGATTCCTTTTACTAAATTGAATGATATTCAAAAAGTTGGTAATGAATTTTCAGCAATTTGGTTAGATGGGATTCCAATAATTTCTGACGGTTTTTGGAGATTTGTGAAACGTTCACAACCATATAAGGTGTCTCTCAAACCAGTAAAACCTTCTAAGGATTTCTTCTACAAGTTTATAAATCAATTCGAGAATGGTGTGGCTAAAATTTACGGTCTAACACTAAATCCAAGCACAAAAACGTATATGATAGTATTCGATCATTTTGGTCGGAAAAGAAATATAAAATATGGAATGTGTAATGATTGTGAAAGGTATAATACTTCTCCTGGCTGGTGTCAATCATGTGATCCTAAAAAAATAACTCAAGGATGGACAAGTGGACACAAGATACTTGATTATTGCATAAAAAATTTTCAACTTAAAATAACGGAATACGAAGATGTAATTGAATGGATTCCTTTTAATAGATTACTTGTGGATCGAGCTCAGGAATCCAGCGACGTATTTTCAGCAACCTGGCTAGATGGAAGACGTGTAATTTCATCTAAATGTTGGGAATGGACACAATCACGTTCACAACCATATAAAGTTACGCTCAAAGCGCTCAAAGCATTATCTTTATATTATTTAATAGTAAGTCATAAAATTGTTAGCTTTTCATTGCATATATTTTTATTGAATATAACGTATACATAAATTCTGTTTGCATAAAAAAGTTTAGGCGATTAAAATATGAAAAGTCTAAAGTATTTGGAATAACACGAAATACAAAAACTCATGAGTACATGCTTGTATATGATGAATATGGACATAAAAGATATGAAGACCATGGGATTTGTAGATATTGTAATAGATATAATACATCACCTGCTTGGTGTCAATCATGTGATCCTCAAAGAATAACTCATAAATGGACAAGTGGAAATAAGGATATTGATGACTGTATTAAAGAATTTCAACTAAAGGCATCAAAATATAATGAAGTAATTGAATGGATTCCCTTTAATAGATTAAAGATTATTGAAAAAATTGGTAGAGGAGGATTTAGTACGGTATATTCTGCGAATTGGCTAGATGGTAAAAGATTTATTTCCGATAACTGTGGCAAGTATGAACAGCAACGAACGCCACCATATAAAGTTGCACTTAAAACTTTGTCAGATTCTCAAGGAGATTTCTTGAGAGAAGTAAGTTACATCGACTAGTATAATAATTTCAGTACTCTTTTTACATAAATTATTCTAATTAAAAAATATATGGTTTATTTAAGTTCAAGAATTTTATGAAATTTAAAATCGAAGGCAGCAAGATTGAAGTATATGGGTTAACCCAAAACATTGATAATAATGAATATATGATGGTGTTTCAATATGCGAATAGAGGGAGTCTTCGAAGCTTCTTAAAATCACAATTTAATGAATTAAGTTGGGAAAGCAAATGGAAACAACTTATTTATATTTCACATGAATTGGCGCAAATTCATAGGTCTAAGCATGTTCATGGTGACCTTCATAGTGGAAACATATTACTAAATCATTATATTAACGGGCCACTTGAATCTTACATCGCAGACTTGGGATTATTTAGAGAAGAAAAATCGACTTTAAAAAGCATTTACGGCTCAATACCGTATATAGCACCGGAAGTATTAAAAGGACAAAAATATACAACGGCCTCAGACATTTATAGCTTTGGTATAATTATGGTAGAAATGTCAAAGGGAAAATTATATTATGACGACGATTGTCAAGATGATCTGGATTTAGCTCGAAAAATTTATTATGGATTACGCCCAAAATTTGGAGAAGATACGCCTGAATGCTATATTCAATTGGCAAATAGATGCATGGATGCTAACCCTTTTAAAAGACCAAGAGCAAATGATCTTTACAATGAATTGGAAAATTGGAGTAAGAATTTATCAATATTACAAATGAAATCACATATAAATTCTCAAGACAAAGTTGAAAAGGGTTTATCTAACTTTAAATCGATAACTTCTAGCTTAATTTGTAAGTAACTATGTATATATCCTATTAAGATTTGATATTATTTAGTTTACATTTTTTTTTATTTTTCAGCTTTATTTCGTCAGCTTGGAACATCAAGTAAGCAATTAATTATTATATTATTTTTGTATTTATTTTATTTAAGAATGTTAATTTATATACATTTTTAATAGATTTCACCCTACAAAATCTCTTAATACCTCCTGACTTTTATAAATATTAATGTTGAATTTAATCAAAATATTATAAATTTAATTTTTGTAAATGAAAAATTTTTTAATATGTACTATAGTTCAGGCATTTGATTACTATGCATCATAGGTTAATTTGTTAAATATTAGATTCTACATATTGTAGGCACAAGTTGAGAAGTTGAGAATTGCTATTTGTACACACACATTGTTACACAAAATCATTAGAAAAGCCATCATTTTTGTGTAACAAAAACAATTTTTTTTAGTAAAAAATCAACAACCTTTGGAGTTCTAATTAAAAAAATTCCTTGCTAGATTTTGCATATAATCAACTTTTGCTAAAATTCCGAGCCTCGCCCTAACCCTAAAGTTAAAGAAATTTAAATTTTTTTTAATAAAAATTTGTTTTTTGTTTTGTTACACAGAATATAAATCAATACATGTGTACAAACATATGTGTAATTTTAGAAATTTTCGCGATAATATGTACAGTTAAACTTAGGAATTGATGATTAATTCTTTGTTAGTAAAAACAATAAAAAAAAGATACAAAAAAAACTCAATGTAACAAATATAGCTTAAAAACTATTTTAACATAAATTGATATAATTGATGATTCGTAATTTTTTTTTAATATTCATTCTCTACATGTAAAGTTGAATCATCCAATCCAGATTGAAGAATATTTATTGATCAATACTCGATTGAATACGTAGATTCTGATTGATTGCTGGTTTGCAAATACTTGCAAATAAATGGTCGATAGCGACTTAAGTAATTAGTAGATTCATGTTCAACGTAATATAGAATAGCAAGTTTATAAAAGTATAGTCATAAGGGAGCGAAGTAATTTATATAATTATGATGCAATCAGAAACTTAAATAAATTTATTATAAAATAAATTATGTATACTTTGTATTTTTTGAAAATCAAAGTAATAATTGACCTTATAGAACAAGGCTCTGAGATATTTGCACAGTTTATTATTTAACCCATTATCCAGATTTATTTATCGTTAAATATTATGGATAAAGACAGTCTTTTATATATTGCATCATATTCAAATGAAGCTGTTCTCTGAAGATATTTTTGTGTATAAAAATATTTCATAGTGTCGAGGTTACGTTACATACATATAGATTACATTGTAAATTGAAATAGATATGTTTTCGCACAAACTAAACACACTAAGCGTGTTGGTTAATAATATTGAACGCGCCGACACTTATAATGTTAAAATTATCTGTAGAACAAGTATCATATAATGCATATGTCTTTCATATAAGATATATAGGTTAGAAATTTGCGTAATTTTTACGTGTAAGGTTCCATGTAATTTGCGTAATTTTTACGTGTAAGCTTCCATGTAATTTTTGTTATGTAAATAACGTTGGCCGGAACTTTTATAGAGCCGGTGATACCAGGAACGTAGTGAAACGGAGTGTATGGTTATATGGCAATTTAAATGGCGTGCGTCCACAAAAACTCGTATATGATTGGATAATGCATCAAATCCACTTAAATATCGCAGTGTTGCATCATCACATGGCTCTAGACTCGTAAATATAAAACTTGCTTTGTTAGTAGTTTAAACGGACTTATTGACAGAATAATAATGAATGCATGTGATATATCGTTCAAGCAGAATTATACCCGATTAAAATTAGAAACTATCGCTATCTAAAAATAGAAAACACTAATTTATCGTTATATTGTTTAAATTTTTATAGTTTATAACTGTTTAGCTATTTGAAAACAATTAGGCTGAGGATGAAATATTGTGTAAGTAAATTATTATTTTTACAGAATTGCTTTTACCAGATACGTCACCTTTTAAGCCAGCCATATACTCTTTCTAAAGCCATACTACGTACGTACATCATAAAGTGGATATCATTAATTACAGTACGCCTCTGACTAAAGTACCCGGTGTGACACAATTTTTTACATAGTAAAAAATTAAAAATCACGTGTAAAACACAATTGTTTACATCACATGCTACATATAAATAATATTTATAAAATTGATCTACATT